AGGTGTACTGGGAAGTTGTTGGAATCTTTTCTTTTCTATAATTAACAAATTCTTACCTTACCTTTCCAAAAAAAATTGTCCATCATGATCAGACTCCTAATCCTGTGCATACCATTGAAAATAGAAACAGATTACTGCAGCACATCTCAACTCAGCTGGGTCAGTCTCAATCTAGCCACCAGTTGATAACGAAGAAGAATTCCCCACACATATTTTGCTTCACTTCTAGTGGACGGTGTATGTAGGTTGTGGAATTGCTCTTTTTGATGAATCTCAGAAATTTTTGGCTGCCACGTCTTTGGAAGTTATTCCTAGAAATGCTCTGTTCTTGAAGGTTCATGCTTTACTCTTGGGTTTGTGTTTTGCTAAAAATCTGGGGAAGAGAGCTATTTCAATCAGCTCAGATACTCATATTCTACTGAAGCCTCTGAATGATAACTCCCTGAGTTTACCAAGTGATGTCTGCCCTATTTTTTGTGATATACTTGAAGAAAGATTGTGGTTTGACCATGTCTTTTTTGTTTATATTCCCAGATCTGTTGTCAAGATAGCTCGTTACCTAGATAGTAGAAATTGCCCCAAAGGTGAATGAGACACAAGTAAAAAATCCCCATGGGGCAAGTACACCAGATCCCACAATCTTGAGAGGATCCAAAAAATATTCTTAAGAGACTCAATGAGACATCAAATTTTTAACATTAAACTTCCATAAAGAAAAGGCTCATTATGAAAACATGGAAACCGGCAAGGTCCTTCAGACTCAAATTTATTTATTATTAATTAATGAAAAAGAATATTGTTCTTAAAAGATGCCTAGCAAAACCATTGTATTAGGTTGGCACAAAGCCACCTAGCCCGTCCTTACCATGTTATGTTACAAATTTCCCTAAAACAGATGACCCCCCCCATTCACCCCTTGCATGGTCAATGCACCAGATACTCCATTTGCTGGTCTATGATTGCAAACACACACACACACACACTTGCTTCCATTATAGTTGTTGGAAGCCATCAAAGTCTAGTTCAATTTGGTGCACATTTGTTGGTGTCCACTTTACCGGTACGGAACACCTGGTACTTGATGACAAAGTAACCAATTCGCACGTGTGCATGCACGTAGGGCACTGGGGTTGTCAATGGACCAGATATTGGCCCAACATGAATCCATTACAGATGGACCAGGTCCAATCCAATCCAATAAATACTTTGGACAATTAAGTCTGATTCAGACAGGGTCAACTGAAACCCGGTCCCTATTACAGTTTACAGATGGAGTGAGCAAGTGAGCAAGTGAGCATGCATAAAGACAATGTCCTAAATTAAATAGGGAGAGGTTCACAGGTCAAAGGTTCAACGACGGTCGAATGTGATGATGTGAAATATACATATATATACCACAGATCACATAAAAACTATAAATAATATATTATAAAACTAATGTTATACTTGAATGTGGTGGATAGATGGCTAATTATTTGATTTTTAAAGTAATTGACCAGGGTTCAAACCTCTTAACTCACATTTTAAAATACATGTGCATTGATGCAATATGCACATTAAAAATTCATAATCAACACATAATGAAGTGGACTAATGGTGACAAGACAATATGCATGGGAAAAAGCTTATGGGTTCAAATCGTGCCACTTGCATTTTAAAAATTCCACACATTTGAGACCTGGGCAGTTTTACGAAACTGAGACTGGTTCACTGGTTTCCCAGTTAAACCATCCAGTCAGCCGGTTTTAGGCGGTTTTCTACCTATTCCAGTTTCTAGGGTATGACCAAACCAGATATATGCCTGGGTCACAGTTCAGCCAGAATGACCGGATGGTCCGATCCGGTTTCCTAAACACTGTTAAATATCATAAGAAATATCAGATATGATGTACCTATTACAACGTCACCTGCATGCCTAGGCTGCTCCATTGACTATGCGTTTTGGAAACACTGTATACACATTAGATGAGGCACCTTTTTACAGTTCATTCACGACATCTTTCTTATTTTATCAGTAGTTTATCCATGACATTCTTTCACCAAGATCAGTCTATGTGTCTTTTGTACTGATGTAATCTTCCATAGGTTGCCCTACATATATAGCTGACACCACCAGACTATTCTCTCTCTCTCTCTGGTTTATGTGCCTCAGGTTGCCCTACATATAAATAATATAGCTGGCGCCACCAGCCTATTCTTTTGGTCTTCTTTTGATCTCCCTCCTTCTCTCTCTCTCTTCAGTTTATATGCCTCAGGTTGCCATACATATAAATAATATAGCTGGCACCACCAAACTATACGCCTGATATCCAATTTCAAACTGCACATGGTTTTTATGCAGTTCCAAACCAAGATCCAAATTTTCCAATCTGATAATGTGAAGGAGTATTTCCATGGTGATCTTACTAAATTTTTTTCTTCTTGTGGTTCTCACCACCAGTGCCAAAACCCCCCAGTAGAACAGGGCTGCAAAGAGGATGAATTGCCATCTCCTTGAAGTTGCTAGAGGGATGTTTTTACATATGCATGTAGCAAAGAGGTTTTGGATGGATGTTGTTATGGTTGATGCCTACATTATAAATTATATGCCTTCTTGGGTATTGGAATATAAGGCTCCACATCAACTTCTCCTCCCTAAAGCACCATTGTTTCCCATACCCATGCCTGTCTTTGGTTATCAATGTTTTGTCCATTACTTGTCTCCTAATCGTGGTAAATTCAATCCCAAAGCTATAAGTTGTGTTTTTCTTGGTTACCCCTCATCTCAAAAGGGATATCGATGTTTTGACCCAATGTCCCAGAAATACTTCACTTCTATGGATGTATTCTTTGGGAATGAGCCTTTATTTCCAATTCCTCCTCAGGGGGAGAGTAAGTTTGAGGAGAAATAGATTCTCTTATCTCTTGTTCCTAACCCTCCTCCATTATGTGTCTTTCTTCAACGTCAAAAAGGCCAAAGCCAATGAATTTAAAAGTCGTGGAACACCCTACAACTTTGCAACAATACCATCATACTCTTAGGGGACAAATCCCTCCCATCTAGGTATTATTATTCCTATTAAAATTCTTTTTTTTTAGAAAAGGTAAAGTATATTTATATTAATAAAAGGTCTTGTGTACAATGAGTAGTTGTACTCATTGATATTCTGATTAATATTCCTAAACCTATTCACATTGATACCTCTATCAATGATTTGGACCCTCCTACTACAAAGAGGAAAAGTGTCAGATCATATACCATTCACCATCCATGGCCCATTTCTTGTCTTATGAAAACACCCCACCCTCATTTCATCCTTTCCTTTTAGCCATTGACAGTGTCGCCCTTCCCAAGAATGTTATAGAGGCTTTATTGCTCCCTAAATGGACAAATGCAATGAAAGAAGAGATAAATGCCTTACATAAAGATGATGCACAGGAGTTAGTGGATGAAGGAAAGGAACCAATTGGATGTAAATGGATATGTTCTCTGTAAAACATAAGGCAGATGGTACAGTAGAGAGGTATAAAGCCCAATTAGTTGCAAAGGGATTTACACAAGTGTATGGAATAGATTATATAGAGACCTTTGCTCCAACTGCAAAGATGGACTCCATTAGAGCTCTACTCTCCTTGGCTGCAAATCTGGACTAGGAACTTCATCAATTAGATATTAATAATGCCTTTTTAAATGGGGATTTAGAGGAAGAGGTGTACACGGTCCAACCGCCTGTTTTTTATGCTAGAGGTAGTGAACAAAAGGTGTGCAAATTGAAGAAGTCTTTGTATGGCCTAAACAATCTCCAAGGGCTTGGTTTAGCAGATTTCATCAGGCTACGCAGCAAATGGGAATATGGGAGTCAAATAAAAGGTTCCTAGCCACGTATATACACCACACAATTTGAGGTGAAGGATCTGGATCCATTACGTTACTTTCTTGGATTTAAAGTTGCCCACTCACAAGGGATCTTCATTTCCCAAAGGAAATACATCCTAGATCTATTGAAKGATACAGGCAAGTTAGGGGCAAAACCATATGACACCCCTATGGATATGAATCACAAACTAGGTGATTGTCAAGGGGAACCAATAAAAGATGTTATACAATATCAAAGACTTGTGGTGAGGCTCTTATACTTGTCCATGATTCGGCCTAGCATAGCTTATGCAGTGAGTGTTCTCAGTCAGTTTATGAATGCTCTTAAGGCCGCTCACCTAGAGGTAGCAGAGAGAGTGCTCAGATATTTAAAGCAATTCCTAGGAACAAGGCTTCTTTTTAAGAAGCATGGGCAATATGACAATGACGTCTGTACTGATGCAAATTGGGCTAGTTCAATGGATGACAGAAAATCTACTAGTGGCTATTGTACCTTTGTGGGAGGAAATCTTGTTACTTGGCAGAGTAAGAAACAGTGTTGTGGCAAGGTCTAGTATGGAGGCAAAATACAAGGCTATGTCCCATGGTGTTGCTGAAGTTTTATGGGATTAAAAACTTAATAGGAAAATTGGGTTTCTCAGTTGATGGTCCTATATCACTCTAATAAATAGATTAAGTGATCACTTTGTGTTTGTTAGGACTTAGGTGGAATCAAATGTGACACGGATAAAACCTGCAAAGTTTCATGGAGGTGAAGTAGGGATGGATATCAAGAAAACAAATTGTTACCCCATAAACAAATATGCCCTGAAATTTCCTCAAACCACTCAAGATTTTTATTGAAAATTGTAGAATTAAGATGCTTGTTGAATACATCCAGAGGTAATAAGATTCATGGAAATGAAACGAATCATAAGTTATAATGACCCATTTAAACATACTGCATGGCTTCATTAGATGCACAATTTGAAAATTGATTTCCTGAGTTAAATACTCCAAAATCGTGTTGCCCAATTTTCTTTGTGTACTCTAGCCAAATCAGGGGGGGAAGCAAACTTCAAGTTAATAAGGAACAGCTAAAATCACAATCAACATATTAGCATTATCTGTGGAACTAACTAGGAACAAGGATCGGGTAAGATACCTGGTCTGCTACAGCATACAAGACTGCAATTATACATGGAAGACAGCAGCAAACAGCAATACCAATCACACATGCCAAGGCAACGCAGAAAATCACAAAGAAGACATCAAATGCTAGAAAAATTATACAAAGCCTGCCAATAAAAAACAAAAAAAAAGGTCGATTGAGAAACATTTGTCAAAGTTAAACTAAGCTTCACGAGTTCAAACAGCATAAATAGAGAGGTATGCCAACCAGTAAAGCTGAGGAGAATCACGTATCAAAGCTTGGCCACCAGCGGATACCCAGTAGAACCCAATGATCCACCATATAAATGAAAACATTGTATTTGCGGATTCCAGATGTTTTGCCACACTGCTGCAAAGGAAGTGAACTGTGAACAAGTGAATGGTGTTCCACAAGGTATAGTATGTGATGATTCCTTGATTGCATTGAGTTAGGGATGTCTACCCAACCCAACTTCCACATCAGTACTAACAACGTCTGAGTGGTTATCAGAAAAAATAATTGGTTGTAAACTTGTAATCAAAGGATGGAAATGCAAGATTTTCCTCTTACTAATAATATTGTTAGTGACAATACCCGGTTCCCTCCTCATCCTGCCGCATCGCCGTCGTATAATCGCCAGCATCCCCTGCATCATCTCGATAGCTTGTACTCAAATTCCCACTACTCCCGTCTCCACCTTGCTCCAATGATGTCGATCGATGTGATGGGTGCCGGCGTCTATACTCAGCATAGACGCATACCATGTGCAGGATACATTGCACAGCATACCCCATAATCCACAACCTCAAAGGCATTGACGGGGATTCATTTCTGCTCAAGATCAGAAACGCAACCGCCACAATCACAAAAGCCATATTCCAAACCATGTCCAGAACAACAACTGGTCTTGAATAAGCCCAATCGCTCTGTCGCTCTTCCAATTGCTCTGCCGCCGTCTCTCGGACCAGCATCGATGGCTCCCTCAACATCCGACGGCTGCTCGCTCTTTGGAGAAACCGAGCAGCTCCGCGTAAACTCGGCCTCCGGCCAATCCTACGACTTCGATCTTCATCTCCACTTCTGTCCGAATTTCCGAGCAACGGTGTCGAATCAACAATATCATCGGGATTTGAATTCGGATACCTCGTTGTTGCCATCCTCGAACTCTTCCCTTCGGATGACAGAAACCCTAACTCTAATCAATCCCACAGCTCCTGCTGCCCGATTCGAGTCGACTTCATCAAGTGAAGCCAAAAAAAATAAAGCAAGTAAAATAAGAAATTACTTTCTCCCGAATTTCAGTCAATACACTTTCTGCAATTAAAGATAGGTAAACACGATTGTTAATTCACGATCGGTGGAAACAACGACAAAAACAAATGGACACTTCCGGACAGATGAACGTCTTCACTTGAGAACATGTATGGAATTGCAATCGAATCTTATCGAATCGAACCGGATATGATGTGAATCAAAATTTTTTTTTGGGCAAATTTGTTGTACCCTTAGGCTGTGTTTGGTTTGGAGGAAAAGGTAGGGAAAGGAAGGGAAAAAGCGAAATATTGTCTTAAACTTTTTCCTTCAAACCAAACATAATTTTATGGTTTAGCTAATTGATTAATTTTAGGGTAAAATACAAAAACCTCCCCTGAGTTTTCTGACAATCATAAAATCTCCACTGTATTTTCATTTTAACAAAAATCTCTCATTTACTTTTAAAAAAATATGCAACAACCGCCATTCCTAAACAAAAAAGCCAATCTAATGTGTTTGTTTTTTTAAATGCCTATTTTGCCCTTATACCTATCTATTTAAATACTCTCCAAAATATTGTTCATTTTCATCCCCGGAACTAAGAATTAGAGTCATCGTCTCTCTCTCTCTCTCTGATGCATTATACCCTTCAGTCCACCTACATGCAACCTCCAATAACAACTCACCACATCATCTTAAAATGTGACTAAAACTTATAGAAAAAAATATATTTTTTATTGTCATCTTCTTCCCTTGATATGCAAACGGTGGAACAAAGGTTTTGATGATGCGCATTTTGGCAGCTCTCGACTGGCAGGTGACTCGGATGCCTGGTTGAATAATCCCTGCCTGGAATGTGGCTTGGACGCCTAGCTGAATGGTTCCTACCTAGAAGGTGGCTCTGATGCGTAGTTAAATGGTGACGAGCTGGATAGGTGGCTTTGATGCCTAATTGAGTGATGACGAGTTTGAGAAGTGGCTTTGATGCCTAACTGAGTGGTGACAAGTTGGAGATGTGGCTCTGATGCCTGACTAAATGGTGACAAACTAGAGAAGTGGCTTTGATGCCTAACTGAGTGGTGACGAGCTAGAGAGGTGGATCTGATGCCTAGCTAAGTGGTGACGAGCTGGAGAGGTGGCTCTAATGCATAGCTGAATGGTGACGAACTAGAGAGGTGGCTCTGATGCTTAGCTGAGTGGTGACGAGCTGAAGAGGTGGCTCTGATGCCTAGCTGAATGGTGACGAGCTAGAGAGGTGGCTCTGATGCCTAGCTGAATGGTGACGAGCTAGAGAGGTGGCTCTGATGCCTARCTRARTGGTGAYGAGCTRGAGAGGTGGCTMTGATGCCTARCTRARTGGTGAYGAGCTRGAGAGGTGGCTMTGATGCCTAACTAAGTGGTGATGAGCTGGAGAGGTGGCTATGATGCCTAACTAAGTGGTGATGAGCTGGAGAGGTGGCTATGATGCCTAACTAAGTTGTGATGAGCTGGAGAGGTAGTTCTGATGCCTAACTTAATGGTGATGAGCTGGAGAGGTGGCTCTAATGCCTGGCTGAGTGGTGACGAGCTAGAGAGGTGACTCTAATACGACCTGCAAGAAAACAGTGTTAGAGTTCCCGGGTTGCTTTACTTGGGGTGGACACTTCGATGCTTAAGTTAGCAAATTAGAGATTTTAAGATAGCTAAATGTGAGAGAGCTGGAGAGCTGCGAAAACTAAATTGCACATCTACCTAGGTCTTAGGGGCTGACACCCTTATATAGTTGGGCTGTTGTGAGTCTCGCGAAACGTTCCCAAAATCCTCGGCCCACGACATAGGGATCTGTTCCGCTTTGGAAGGAGGATAACGTGCCAGTTAATAAGGCTTACCGTTTCCCTCCGATTCGGATGGGATGTGGACAAGGCCTACGGTTACGCAACATGATCCCGAAAAGGTTTGGAGACAGCTGTTAAGCTTCTAGAGAGGTAGGTCGCCAAGTCGGCAGCAGAGGCAGGTCACCAGGTCAGCGGCAAAGAGGCAGGTTGCTAGGTCAACAGCAGAAGTAGGTCTCCCGATTGGCAATAGAGGCAGGTTGCCAGGTTGGCAACAGAAGTAGGTCGATAGGTCGGCAATAGAGGCAGGTCGCCAGTTGGGACCCCATTTTGGCTAAGGCAAGTTATTACCTAAGTGATGTTGGGATGTAGTCCAACTGTTCTACTATGCCATGTGTCATGATGTCAGTTGAGGGCCAAATCTGCCCTCATCAGGTTTGAACAAGCACCAAGTAAGATTTTCCATCTCTCAAACATTTTGTTCTCTAAATTTTATCGGTTTTAGCATTTGGATGCAAATGAGGACCAAGGAAAGGCGTTAAGAGAAGAAGAGATCTCCAATCTTGGGTTCCACATATGTATTCCATTGGTCCTGGGTTCCACAAGAAACTCATCGTCGGATATCCTTCAACGTTGAAGAAGATGAAGAGCTTTTGTAGCCAAAGCTTGAAGGATTGGTTAAGCAATAGATTGATTTAACCATTTAGAACTCAATTCTAAGTCATTTTCTTTACTACACAAGGATTAGGAAGATGATTTCCTCCCGCACGTTTTTGAAATCCACCTTCCGATTCTTCATCCTTCCACTTCTCTTTCCATCGTTTATGGTTTTAGACATCCTTGCTCCCAATTCCTTCCTTGCTTAAACCTTTTTTAGGCAGGCATAGTTCCAATTTTTCTACTATTTTTCTTTTGACTCCAACCTTTTTCATGAAAGGTTTGAGAAATTAGATTGGGAGGAGCCGCCTTCCTTTTTCGTGAGAGGAGGAACTACACACTCTCATGCCATTAGATTGGAATATATATTTAACTCCAATGGGCAATGGCCTTCCTTGTAGTGATCTTTTCCCGCCCTTTTCTTTTGTTGCAACCTACGAGTACCAATGGCCCTATTTCTCACTGTGTTCAATTGTTGGAGTGGAGACAGAGCAAGGTAGACGTGAGGTTGACTAGCCAATAGCCATCCTACGGAGAGCTTGAAGTTTGGCGGTGAGGCCCCCACTAGCCAACCCATAGAGAGGATGCAATCTCATGGGATGATTCCCCTGCTTCCACTACTCCAAGAGTGATGTGTCGTGGATTGACCTTCCCAGATGGACGAGAAGGTTGGCGACTCTAGTTCTTAATTAAGAAAATGAACAATGTTTTTTATGACATTTTAATAAATATATATTTAAATAAATAAATGTGAGGGCAAAATAGGCATTTTGGAAAAACAAATACATTAGGTTGGCTTTTTTGTCTAGGATTGGAGGTGGTTATATATTTTCTAAAAAGTATAGGGGAGGTTTTTGTTAAAGTAAAAATGTAGAGGAGGTTTTTATGATTGTCAAAAAACTCAAGGGAGGTTTTTGTATTTTACCCTTATTTTTACCTTAATTGTTTATATATTATCTTAAACTATCCATTATCGTTAGTTAAGTACTAATGAAAAAAAGGGAATATTGAATTTATCCATCAATATTCCTTAAATATTCAAAATATAACTCAACTGATTAAGAGTCTTCTTGAATTTGTCGTATCTTATTACCATTTACCACCATTGCCGTCATCGGTGCTACATCCATCATCTACCACCTCACAATCTTCTAGATCCTAACTTCTCAAAAGGACCATAAGGGCGTCATTTTCTCCTTCTTCTTCTTATTATTATTATTATTGTTTGTTGTTGTTGTTGTTATGGGTTGGGTGGTAAAGCCATAGAGAGGGGTTTCCTTGAAAAGAACAAACTTGTAAACCATATTTTACTTGAAAATAACACCCATTTACATCCAATTGGTTCATTTCATTCACCCACTAACTCTCGTGCATCATCTTTATGTAAGGCATTTATCTCTTCTTTCATTGCATTTGTTCATTTAGGGAGCAATAAAGCCTCTATAACATTATTGGGAAGAGCAACACTATCAATTTTATGTCATATAATTCTTTGAATGATTGGAAACTTACGAACCATATTTCACCATTCTTTGAATGTCATATCATATTTATCTTATATAGGGTAAATTACATATTACTACCATATACTTTGGGTGCAGTGACAATTATCCTTGAGCTTTCATTTGTGTTTGGTTTGAAGGGAAAAAGGTAGGGTTCTCTACCTTACACAGCCCAAGGTTTTACCCGTGAGTAAATGCTTAAAAGCCACATATAAGATGTTACTCAATCAGCCTCCTTGCTTAATCCATTGTATGGTTGTACCCCTAAAACTTACAATTCATCTAGTTGCACATCGTTGCATTTAAATACAAAAAAAAAAGTAGTTATTTCAATTGGGATTATGTTTCCTCTTTCATGTTTATTCCTTAGGCTATGTTTGGTTTGAAAGAAAAGGTAGGGAAAGGAAGGGAAATGTAAGGAAATTTTTACAAAACTTGTATAGGTTTCTCTTTTTTTCCCTTCCTTTCCCTGCCTTTTCCTTCAAACCAAACATAACCTTAGAGAATGACTTGTAATTATGACTGAATTGTTGAATGAAATCAAATTTAGGGCTCATTGGAAAGGGGTAAAAATGATTGAAGGTGATTGGGTGTTGGAGAGATGATGGTGGTGATTACAAGTACATGTAGATCACTCTTATAGAGTTTGCAATGAGGATCATGATAATACAAAAGCAACCACAACATGATGAACACTATATCCATCACCAGAGGCATTACAATCGAAAATTGCGTAACCTTACAAAGATGATATTTCGAACAAACAAATGCAAAAGAATGCAATATATGATGTCATTAATAAGCAAGGGTCACACCCATTAATGCTCTCATGTTAGGTTGGCAGCACAGAGTGCCACTCTAACAGTGACGACAACATTCTACTCACCATGTTACATGTTCAACAAAGGAGCATCACTTAAACCACATTATTACGAGTGAGCTACTGAAAGTGGTTATAGATATAAGTGTGCCCATGTAAGGGTCTTAAGAATAAGAAATCCTAATCCCAAAAGAATAATGGAGCTTACTCGTAGGGCTGTTCATAAGAAGGCCCAACCCGACCAACTCGAGTCGGCCGGGTTTTCATTAGCACCGTTCGGTTTTGGGTTGTACAAATTTATAAACCGATGGTTCGGGTCGGTTTCAGTTTTTTTGTGTGAAAACCGAAACCGAACCGACTTAATTCCTACTTAACTATTTAAATATATATTTCGATTTT